TAGAAATTTTGCTGCTAGCCAAGGAAAACTAATTGTGCTGTGCACCAGTACATTTTAGATTCAATACAGAATATAGCATTCATTTAGAATTAACTCCAGTGACCATGAGATACTGTTAGTTTTATTATACTATTGGCACTTATTAATATTTAATAATTTCTGTACATGTAGTTTTAAAAGAAGCTCAGAATTTTCCAAATGACTTAGAAATGAAATCCACTTGAGAATTTCTTGCAGTATGGTAGAGTAAACATTCTGAAAAACTCTTTCAATATTTAGCACCTCACAATACTAAAATGTCAAAACAAGAGGGAAAAAACAAGAAGTTATGGGTAGAAAAAAGAAAAATAAATCAATTCAGTAAAATTTCAGAGAGAAACGCAAAAGCTCTAGCTTGATGACTTTTTTTGTATATCTCAACTTGGCTAGGTCTCAGCAGTCCCCAGTTATGTGAACAGTACTGAGGGGTTATTGTGACAGTATTTGTACCTATGCTTAAAGCCCATAATCATTTGATTCTAGTAAAGAGCATCATCCTAGATAACCTTATGGGCTTGGTGCAGCCAGTTGAAAGGCCTTACAAGCAAAGCTGAGGTTTCTCAGAAAAATAAATTCTGCCTGTGAACAGCTGCCCCAGCTTGTGCTCTAGAGTCACAGCCTTTTGTTTCTGATGACCTGCCCATGGATTGCGGACTTGCATACCTAGCTCCACTGTTGCAATTCTCTGCCATAAATCTTTTAACATATATATCCTACTGGTTTGCTTCTCTGGTTGAGCCCTGACTGATGCGTGGCATAAGCAGCTATTCGGGGGCATCTGCGGTTCCCTTCATATTTTGCTCTGGGAAAAGGGTCAAGTTTAGGACCCACATTCCTGAAAAATCAGATTGGAGACTAAGTGAAAAAGCAAACCAGAAAACAAAGTGAGAAAATCTAAATTTTGGTTGTTTGGGCTTCAACTTTATGTATGAGAGAAAAACCATTCCTTGATATTCTCGCTTGGGGCCCAAATTTGCAACTTCTCATGTGAACTTTAACATGAAGAATAATGAGATTTCACCTCATACCACAGTGACAAAATTTAAAAGTGAGACTACCAGTGTTACACAAAACATGCAATAATGGGAACCCATTCACTACTCCGGAATATAAACTTTGAAAAGAAGCTTTGTATTATCTGATAAAGTCATAAATGTAGATATTCTGTGTGGTTATGTTTTGTTTTGTCAGGTATTAGGGGTAGAACCCAGGGTCTTTTCACTGAGCTACATCCCTAACCTTCTTTAATTTTTTATTTGGAGATGGGGTCTCACTAGTTTGCTAAATTTCCAGTGCTAGGCTTGAATTTGTGATCACCCTGCCTCAGCCTACCAGAGTGCTGAGATTACAAGTCTGCACCATCACATCCAGCTTATTTATGTTATTGGTTTTATCCCACTCAGTAGTGAAATAGGGTACCTAGTAGTAGAATAAAATCCCTATGAACCTATGTAGTAGGAAAGATGGACAAGAATAATATTTGCTACATACTATGTAATAGCTCAAACCTGGAGGCAGTGCAGAAACAAAGGAGATTGGATCAAGAGTGGAAGAGTCATATAACAGAATTCTATAGCAGGAAAGATGAGTGAATCACAGCTCCATAGAAATGGATTGCAATTTCTGCATAATAAATAGTTACCAAAGTTCAGGATATCAATATATGTGTTAAGATTCTATATCTGTACATGAGGCGGGGGGACTGGATACCTACTTACTTCAGACAAAGGGTTTTATTCACAGTTGTACCTACAGAGCCTAGGAGAACACAATAAATATTTATTGCATGAATGAATGCATTTTGAACATAAGCATGCAATGTCAGGACACAGACTCTGTACTTTTAGCCTAAAATCCTGATGCATGAAATCTCAGTCTGACCTTTTCTACTATAGATCACCATGTAGCTGTTGTTATCTGACCTAACTAGTGTTAACTCCTTCCCTAGTGTGCTGGGACCAAAGTTCACCCCAGACATTTGCATCTAACAGTCACTCAGGTCCCAATGTGTTCATACTGTCACCAAAAATCCTAAAGAAAAGAAGTTTGTCACCTTTGATGAGTAAGTTTGAAAATTGCTCTACATTGGATCCAGGTAAGCTGGACTTTCCTACTATTCAGCTCAGAGTCCAGAGACTTGATCTGAGAGAAAACAAAAACTTCATTGGAGCTCAGCAAGTATAAAGCTCAGAAAAGAAAAGAAAATGGAAATAAATATTCAGAAAATATAAAATTAATCAAATTAAAAGCAAAATTCCATCGCATTACAGTCTTACAAAATAAACTGAAACTTATTGGTGCAGGATACCTGTGAAATTCCTCACATCTTTCTATGCAGGAAATGAAAATAAGTAGAGACAGATTTTAGGGGAAAGTAATCGACACATTTACTGTCTGTGTGAATGACAAAGGCAGAATGCTTTACACATAGTAAAGGTGATCCTTTTATGTAATCACAATAATTCAGTCTTGCAGCATCAACTGGCCTGAACATAAAGAGCACTTTAATGTTGGCTAATGACACAATTACCATGAATTAATTCTATCATCTCTGCAAGGTATCAGAGTACAAGAACACTGCAATTACCTGGTTCAGCAAGACCAGCTATATTTCACTCTACCAATATTGTGTAACTCTAAATGTCACGCATAGTTTAAGAATATTTTTAATCTCTTGCTATGATTTAAATATTATTGTGTTAGGAAGAGAGATGGTTACAAACAACTGATATTTCCTTGATATGCAGAAAAGACATATTTCTTTTTTCTTTCTATCAGTGTGACAGAGTAGAAGCCAGTGTAACCTACCTTTGCCTTTGTGGCTATGGAACACTCTGTCCATGTCATTTCAATAATTTATTCAGTTCCCACTTTGCACCTAACATTATGGTGTGTTACACATTATTAGAGGAGGGAGTTTCTATTCTATGATAATGGCTGATGAAACAAGATTTACATTCAAGGAAGATGTAAAGAATAAATATGTGGCAAAATAGTACCTCAGGTATTTTAGCATTATGGCCTGCTATATTCTTATACTAATTAGCTTGATGCATTGGAAAATTATTCTCAGATCCACAACTCTTTCTTTGGTGGAAGGAGGCTGCATGAGCCACCTTCACAGGGTCTTCTGACACAGAGGATCAAGGCTGACACTCAGATTCTAAGAAAGTAGGAGAGAGTGTCTTTCAAAAAATCTGTAGAGAAATTCACAAGACAAACATAATTCTAGGGTGGGATTAGATGAGGTTTTGTTGATATCTAAAGTCTTAAGGCTGGCCTAGAAGCACAATATGAAATGGTATTACAGACATCGTAATTGTATTGTGTATGACCTAATAGGGGCTGTGCTATTTGTAAATTGTGCTTTTTTTTCTATCCATTCCTTTTTCTCTCATGATTAAATATCTGCAATTCTTAATTAATTTTTAATCAATTTATCTCAGCAGGGGAGACAGAGATGCTTAATATGTGTGGGTGAGACATCGTCTGAACTCACTTTACAGCACAATTATGCCTATAGGAACAATTGTCCAGCCAAATGTATTCAATGCTAGCAACTCTCTCTGCTATACTGGCAGCCTAGACCTAGGTTCAATCTAAGACATATCAAATCGTGCACACACAACATGTTCTCCATCACTAAAAATGTAACAAGAATTGAGTAACTGCCTAGGAGATTCAATCAACGACAAGCAGAGAGTCTTAAAGATTTACACAGAGATCAGTTATCTGGATTGGTGTCTTCAGCAATCCAATCAGCCAGATGATTTGTCTCTTCTTTCAACTCTTGTTAGAAAATTTAGACAGTAAATTATTTCGTTTAGGACCGAGTTACAGTTGCTCACTAAAGGTAAAGAATTGAAGCAGCTGTCTGAGCTTGTGCACAGGAAACTCAGACTGAAGCTTTCTTATTGCTAATGTACGCGGCTAAGATTGTAGAAGAAACTCCTAGGAAAGCTGCCATCAAGCAGAGACTGCGTGAAGTCTGGGGAGCAGTTCATTATTCATTGTCCTTCTATTCTATTTGCAAAGCTCCACTTCTGAGTCTTTCCAGCACTTCTCAGGACCTACCTGCCCTAACCCCACCACCATCTGCCTGTTTTCCCTTTGAGTCCATGTTCCAAAGCCTTAAGATACCAAGTGATGTTATTTATTTCTTTTGCTAGCTAATTCTGGTATTCTTTTTCTGAAGAGAGAAAATGTATTTTATTTAAGGGAATGTCTCAGTTTTCATAGGTTTCTTATTCATAGTTTACCATTTCCCAGACATTAAAGAGAATCTGGAGCACCACGAAGTAACCTGAATGAATTTATCTGTGAAAACTACTGTAACTATTTCAGACAAGGGAGAGTAGGGCCCCTCAGGCCACGGCCAAGGCTTGAGGGCAGTGAACACAGTTCATTGAACAGAACACCAGCCACACAACGCAGCGTGGTGAAAACTAGTGTGGCTGAATTCATCTTCTGATCACATGTTGATGTGTTTCTCAGTTTATCTTCACCTGTCACTATCAGTATCATCAAACATTTATTATGCCTGCCTTCCCTGTACATACGTGACATGGTCTCTGGTAATATTCCACAATAGGTGGAATACTGCTAATAATACTGCTAATATATTATGCTTATAATACTGCTAATATTGAAAATATGTCTTATTCAAACTATTTTCCATGAGTATAGTCCGAAAAATTGTATTTTTTAAAACCAATGTACTGTTAGGATTATCATCTCAGTGTCCCCATCTAAAGCAAAAGGATGTAGGAGAGGATTTGTTCCCCTCCTCTTTAAGAATACAAAGAAATTTAAGCATTGAAAAGTGAAACAATTTATACAAGGCTCATTCTTTCCAGCAACAGAACACAGTTGAGATTACAGACTTGAATAAGAAGAGGACATGTTTTAATAAAACAATCAAGAGAGGGAACTCCACTTGTAAGATCTGTAAGTCACAATACCCTTCAGTCCGCAGGTTGGATCCTTGGTCTCTGCAACTCTCTGCTTCTGGGTCTTGTAAACGATGTGTGGGTGGTATCCTCCCGTGGCGAGTGGATGCTTTTTAACAGGCTCAATGAAAAAGTCTCCATGTGGTAGATGGAAAAATCCACTCTGTAAATATATTCAAGAAGGTTTATTTGAATAAATTCTAAATAAAAGATGTTAGGAAAGTAAAATATGTGGATCTTGATAATCTCCGCTAGTCCTAAAACCAGTGCTTTAAGAGTCTGTCATCTCTACTCAGAGAAAACATACACAAATAATTTGATGAAATGTTTTGATAATCATGATTTTTAAATATTTGGATCCCTTTGAGGTTTTAATGAAAAAAGTACACATGTACACATGGATCCAAATTGTAGCATGTAATTTTTCAGGTTCATGAATCCTCCTTAACCTCCTTGTTGTATATCTATGGCTCTCAGATTAAAAATCAGAGCCTCCACTTGCTCAGTTGTGGAGGTGATATCTAGGCCCACACTCCATTAATAACTCTTAGAACATTTTTATACGTGGGCAACCCTGCCTCACATTTACCCTTTACCCGATTGCTTGACTGAAAGCATGTAATGCTATCCTTTACTCAGGAAAACAAAAAAACACGTAATGTTAAATGTGATCTCAGACTGTTTCAGGGGTTTACAGCGGGAAGCCCTCTGTCAATCTCCATTTCATAGATCTGGGAATCAGTGGTATGCCAGAGAATGCTGGTCAGTGCATAGCTCAAGCCTAGAAGTGTACAACTCTCCTGTCTCTCTTTTTTTTTTTTTTCTTTTTTTGGTTTTTCTCAGGTACCGGGAACCAAACTCACGACCTTGCGCTTGCCAGGCAGGCGCTTTTGCCGCTGAGCTAAATCCCCAGCCCCAACTCTCCTGTCTCTTAAAGGAAATTTCTTAGAGCCCATTAAAAGTGCTTAGAAAAGTCCTCTACCAACTACCTCTTAAGAGGGACGTTGCCACAGGACTATAATTCCATGTCTCTGGAACACAGGACTCACTCTAGGTGACCTCCTTGGGGTGTTACACTGAAGCAATCAGAAGCTCAGACTATGGAATGAAACTAGGCTCAAATTAAACCGGCTCCCTCACTTTATGACTCCATGAACTTGAATAAATGACTTGCTCGATTTCAGGTCTTTCAACTGAAAAATGGGAATAATTGAAGGTTTCTGTGAAGAGTAAATGAGTTAATTATGTAACACTCTTAGCAAAGGGCCTAGATCATAGTTTTACCTATCATCCAAACCCCTGAGTATGTCATTTCATGTATTAGGGTCTTTTTACTCAAGATAGCAGTGCAGTGAATGTTGACTTTGCAGAAATAAACTTGGAAACAGTGGAGACTTTAAGGAAACTAAAAAAGCCACTTAAGTTCAAGCCTCCTCTCCACTCCTTAGTGAGCCAGGACTGCTCAGCTCTGCAGGTGAACCCGAAAACTACCTGAGCAGTCCCCACAGACAGGAGGCAAGAGGGGAGTCCTCAAGCAGGAGGCCCCTCTTATTGCACAGCCCTTGCCTTGGATGCCTTTCCAAAATGTTCACCTCCGTGTAGCCAGTACTATAGCTGGACATTCACTTAAATCTCACAGTTTCCCTCTTATTTTGATTATTGACTTCAAACACCTTTAATATCAGAGACAATGGAAAGAGAAAGCACTTTATTGAGAATCACAAGAACAACTGTGTAACCTTGAAGGGGTTACAGAAACTTCATGAGCTACAGAGTTCTCATTTACAAATAGGCTGGTAGAATGAAATAAGGTGAGGTTTGAGCACATGCCATGTTTTACAAATACACAGGGCATACTTTAACAACTCCAATAGTTGTGCATCTAACTTTAAATTTGTTTGTATGTTGATATTTCTTAGGAGACATGACAGTTTCTTTTCATTGTCTTTCTCTGAGGAGAACCTCTGAGACAGGAAGAATTATCAAGGCCTAGAGACTGATATCTAATAATTGCAGTATAGCAGCCAAAAGCAGACTTCACGCAGTGCTGAAATTTGGTTCCATCTCTGCTCTGAATCAGAGGCTGAGCACAAGGAGAATGTGGGCCTGTCACTAATGAGGCTCATTTTTTCCATGGAAACAAATCAGAAATCCAGGATTCCTTAGAAACAGCTGGGCCTGGGCCCTTTGTGCACTATTAACCCAATACTGATGTCCTTAAGAAAACAAAGCACCAACAGGAAGGATTTATTGAGACCTTCAGAATCAAGTTTTGGAGCCAAGTGCTGCAAAACAAACAAGTGGAACTCCACTGGAGAACATGGGAGTTATTTGATGGACCACATGAATTACAGAGCCTGAAAGCCAAATCTTTTCCTAAAAGATTTCCATCCATTTGTACTCCTCCACACTGTAAACCTTGCCAGGGGAACATGGGAACCATCTCTTCAGCCTCAGAATTTCTCAGAAGCTGGGTAGGCAAGCTGAGGATTTGCCAGTAGAAGGGGAACAGGAAGGCACACACACACACACACACACACACACACACACACACACACACAGAGGTGGGGCTGCTGACCTGGGGATCCTGAGTGTGTCATGGACAAGGGAAAGGGTGGAAGAGTGAATGAAAAGACATCTCTGGTTGTGGGGAGTGTGGGGTGGGAGATTTCTGAACTAAGCTCTGCACCGCCTCTCTTTTCCAAAACAAAAACACAGTTTTGTGCATCTGGTCTTATGCTTTGAGTCTGCATGTTCCCCCCAAAGCCTCCTGCAGTCATACAGCATTTTTAGGAGGCAGCTGAATCTACAGTGTGTGACTGATTTGTGATACAATGCTGAAATTAAGAGTGTGTGATTGCTGGATCAATCCACTGATTGTATTGTCACCACCCTAATCCTAGCAGACAATACACTATAAGGGACAGAAAGAGGTTTGCTTGTCTTTCCTTCTCTTGATTGCTTGCTTTTGCTGTCTTCTACCACCACGAAAGGTTGCCTTCTGCCATGTGCCACCCTTGGAGCCAGCCAGCTGTGCACTGAAACCTCTACAAACTGTGAGCTAAATAAATCTTTCCTCCCTTAACTTTGGGTGTCCTTGTCTCAACAATGAGAAAAGTAACTAGGACATCTGGTATCCAGGAAGCCCATTTATTGAGGTCTCCTCAGGTATAAGGAATCAAGTTACAGTAGAAGGGATCACATATAGTTTGCTTTTTTGCTAGCTTCACAATGCTTGATACAACTTGCCTCACAAAATCATCTTTTTCTGTCACCAGATCTGGCTTGAATCAAAAAAAAATCCCTCTCTATCCCAGTCTTCCCTACAGCCTACTCACTTCTCTTTTCTTCTTTACTTTTAGCTGAGAGTGGAAATGGGATTGAGGAAAACGTCAATTCACTGAGGGCTTATCCTCTTTATTGAAAAGAGCCTTGGTAGAATGCGCTAGAGCTCAATGTCTCAGTTACCTTTCTCCTTGCTGGGACAAAATATCCAACACCCACAAGTTAAGGGAGGAAATGTTTATTTATCTCACTGTTTGTAGAGGTTTCAGTCCATTGTTAGCTGGCTCCAAGGCAGGGTAACATGGCAGACAGGCACTGCAGAGGAGAAACAGTTCATGGTGTGTCAGGCAGAAGGTAACGAAGGAGCAAGCAGCAGCAAGCCTGCCTTCTTTGTGTTCCTTTGTATTCCAATCAGGACACAGGCCTGCTGACTGGTGGCACTCACAACCAAGGTGAAGCTTCCATTATCCACACCTTTAATCTCAGTATCACACCCTTCATCCACAGTCACACACCCTAATCAAGTCACCTTCAAAACTTCCCCACCTATGACTGCATGAGGCTTTGGGGGGACATCTACATATAAGTTATAACATGCAAATAGAACAAATTCTCCCTTTTATCTCTTCTGTCATCTACTCTTTCTCCTTCCAGTATCCACTGGTCTCAGCTCTGCTAACTCCTTTTTGAAAACAAACTCATATATTTGTTTTAAACAAGTTATAAATCTGAATGCTTCCCAAGGCTCTCCTCTAAGAAATTATTTTAAAGAAACTTTATTTTGTAATTATACACATGCAGAGATGTACAAAACTTGACTGTAAATATTCATAACTCTTTCATGAAGGGAACATTCAAAAGGAGAAGGCAAACATTACCAGCAGCCAAGAGATCCTCTATTCCCCTCCCAATCAGTAACCTTCCCCTGAGTTCCAACACAAATAAATTAGTCTTAGGCCTATACTTATTCTTTACATGATGCATTATTTGACACAAAAGGGGGGTCTCTTAGTTCAAGTGTGGAGGACTGGCTAATGGAAAAAGATTTTATTAAGATAAAAGGATTTCCCAAGTCTTATTAAATTGGACTCATCAAATTGCCTCAGTCAGAAAATGGCAAGCTCAGGTGATGGGGATGAGACAAAGGGTCCAGGTGCTTTGGTTTGAACCTACTGACGCTGAATCTCTCTTTCTGAAGAGGGACAATCACAGACTCCTTAAGGTAGTCTCAAAGTGAGACTAATTTCCCACAATCTTTCCTTCCTCCCCTCAGCTTGCTTAAAAGTATCTTAATGAATGCAACATTACCCTTCAGATAGCAACAACACCCTGAGGTCCAGGGGGAATCTGTCTTTTCCAACATACAATGAAGTGGTGAATAGGATGTTTTAGAGTCACAGAGCCTAGAAACCTTGAAGAGTCTCCCAACCCATGCTGTTATGCCTTCAAGAGTACCACAGTAAAACCTAGCAGCCTGACAGGTAAGTATCAATGATGTTGTAAAAGGCATTTAAATGGCACCTCCTGCAGTTGTACAGTGGAAAAGCACTGCCAAAACATCACTCTGCCCTAGAAACAAATTTCTTTTATTTGAAAACCTCAGAAGTTACCAAATGAACTTTTTATTCTCATAGTGATGGAGACAATAAGATCAACATATTCTGAAAGGAAGGGAAGAAAAAATGGTTTGGGATAAAAATAAATGTACCCAAGATACCCAATTATAGTATATAAAGCACTGAAAAAGCTACTTCCTCCTATCACACAGATAGGAAAGAGAATAAATGAGCGCCCCCTCCCTCCAAGTCACCCTCTGGAGTATCAGTGTGCGTTGGTATATGACTAACTTGTGCTAAGACCTCTGAGAAGAATATTGAT